AAACAGACAGTTACAATGATGAAAGACCTACACAGGAGCTAGAGGTTCAATTTGATCTTCCTTCCCATGTTGTTCTATATGGACACATATAGTCCAGTGCATATCTACTGCATATAATTTAGCTCTGGATGGATGAGGGTTGAGAATGTTATCATCCGTATAGATAGGTGGTCCTACTTTGAGAAGGCCAACCTGCCGTGGTAAGTGCACTGTACAACAGATAGTATAGTGTTTGGGACACCTAGTAAGAAGGGTGGCGTGGTTGATGGTTTGTACAGTTGTTTTAAGAATAATCAATGTGTTTCGGGGTGAAAGGGCCTCCCCCTACTTCAGAGTTCAACATCTATGGAGTATAATTACAACTAGACAGTGTTCATTAGATTAGCCTGTTTTAGGACTAAATGACACTGAGGTGTGAGTGTCATCATGGGGGATTCCCCCAAACTGCATTAGCTATTCTTCATAAATACTGTATACTTATTACTGAATTACGTGACTATTCTTGCTAGGCGCTCCTAACCCTATACTGAAAAACACAAATATCGTAAGGCTGGAAACAACACTTGTTGGAGCTCTGGCTGTAATATGTTCTCTCCAGTGATGTCCCCTGAAATAATTCCTTTCCACCACTAGATATCCTCAGTCTTTAAGGTGGAAGGATGTCTGGCATCCTGCAAGTGCAGGTTGTAACTGACCCACCCACTGAGGGGGCATTAGCACAGCGCCCTGCACTTACTGTGTAATGATGAATCATTGAGGACCATCCAGCACCACAGAAGAGGTGAAGAGGAGGGGGACCCAGTGCATCATGTAACCAGTCTAAATGCAGCAGGAAAAGATTATTATTTATATAGGGCTGACAATTTTTACGCAGTGCTTAACATAATGCGCATTCACATCAGTCCCTGTCCTCATGGAGCTTACAATCTAAGGTCCCTATCTCACATGTATATAGTGGGAACTCCATAGGTTTTAAACACCAATTGAACTTTCAGCTGATATCAGGTATTCCAGATAAATCAAAATAAAACATGTACAAAGTCTTAAAGTTCCTTTTCTTAAAAAAGCAGCCACAACCTGTATAAAGATACCTGTCTGCTGCCAGCATGCTGTAGAGAAGCTCCTATAGCACCACTGCTTCATTTTCTGCAGCATGCTGGCAGCAGACAGGCTTTTCTACTCAGACTGTGACTGTCTTCTTATGATACCTGTTTTTTTTTTTACCAGGCAAGAAAGAGGAAATCATCTGACACCCGAATATCAGGTCCTTCAACATTCACAATGTTTTGTGTTAAGAGGGCAGAGACAGAGGCTGCGTGCACTCGTGGTTTAGGCTTGGCGTTTTGCACTTCCTTGTTGACATAAGACTCGGGGGAAGCAAAAACGAAACACAGTGAGTGAAGATTGCTCGGACAGTGAAGTCCAACTACATAACAGGTATGGGAGCTGGAGAGGGACACACTATTGTAGATTGTAATTCTGCCATGTCCTTGTGTTTATTCTTATAATAATTCCAGTTGGTGTTGGTCACGCAACAGCTATATACACAGAATATATATACTGTATATAATATAAACACAGCCCTTCTACACAGTGCGATCTGCTGGATGATACCACTTACAGATAAATAATACAGTGGTGTCATGTCTCTACCACTAGCATGTTCACTGCACAATAACAGAGCATCGGAAGACTAATGAGGTCACTCATCTGCTCTCTCCTCCTATCAGTATATAACTTGTCGGCACTTTTGCATGCAGAACACCTGATTAGCCCCCCAATTCCTGCCCCAGTCAAGGTGCTGCTGTATAGGAGATTAATACCAAGTCAAATTCAGGTACTTACACTAATTGAATTTAGCAAATACATTTTAATTCTGTGTTAAGAGGACGGGGACAGGCTGCGTGCACACTCGGTTTTTGGTTGGCGTTTTGCATTTCCTTGTTTTTATAAAACCCAGGCAAAGCAAAAACGAAACACAGTGAGTGAAGATTGCTCAGACAGTGAAGTCCAACTACATAACAGGTATGGGAGCTGGAGAGGGACACACTGTAACACTGTAATGCATTGTAATTCTGCCATGTCTTTGTGTTTATTGTTATAATTCCAGTTGGTGTTGGTTACTCATAGCTCAATACTTGTCATCTTTTCATAGATCTTCTCTGGAGTTCTGACTATCTAACAGGATACAGACGCTAGAAGGACGGTAAGTCACTTCCTAGTTTTTTGATGGTCTCTTTCTGACTGTATTTTATAGCTGAACTCCCAGCAAACAGCTAAATACACAAAATATATATACTGTATATATATTGTAGGAAAGTCTTGTCCCCCCTCTCAAACTGTCTCACTGTGGCTCTCAGGTCATGGTAGGACTTCTGCATCCCCTGCGCCTGCTCCATATGTTGGCGAACAAGAGGATTATCTATCCAGTCCTAATATATACACAGCCCTCCCACACCGAATTATCTGCTGGATGATACCACTTACAGATAAGTAATACAGTGGTGTCATGTCTCTACCCCTAGCACGTTTACTGGACAGTAACATACCATCGGAAGACTAATGAGGTCACTCATCTGCTCTCTTCTGCTATCAGTATATTCCTTGTCGGCACCTTTTCAATGCAGAACACCCGATTAGCCCCCCAGTCCTGCCCCAGTCAGGGTGCTGCTGTATAGGAGATTAATACCAAGTCTAACTCAAGTACTTCTACTAATTGAATTTAGCAAATACATTTTAATTGTGTATCAATGAATATAGAACTTACTGTTTTAATGCACAATACCGGATCATGCATCAACGCTGAGCAGGCGGTGTCATTGCTTGTCAATGGCACACCAACACACTGTACAGTAAAAGGCAAAGCACCACAATACACACAAACTATGTGATGTGCTTCATGTGGTGCATCTTAAAAAAAAAAGGTCATCTCCAGGGGTGTAACTCCAAACCATGGGGCCCCATAGCAAAACTTTGAGCTAACTCTCTCTGTAGTGGCACGCAGTGTGAACTGAGACAAAAAATATAATTGATCTTAACCACAAGTATGTGTCAAAGACAGCAAGCAAGAGAGCTGCAAGCATAGTCAGTATAGTACTAGGGAGCAGTGCTGGGGGTAAAAGTAGCACAAATAATAATAATAACCAGAATTATATTTTATATTATGATAAAATTAATTCTCTTGCACGCACTCGTCAACCCTGATACAAACTCTTCCTGATTGGCTTTCTGGCCAATCAGGAAGCCGGGGGGTGGGTAATGACTCGTCACTGGCTTCCTGATTGGCCAGCTTCCCGACCAACCAGGAAGCTGGGCGGCGAGTCATTACACCAGGTGACAAGGAATCACAGAGCCGGCTTTCTGGCCAATCAGGAAGCTGGGGGCCGGGTAATGACTTGCCGCCCGACTCCTTGATTGACCAGCTTCCCGACCAATCAGGAACCTGGGCGGCGATTCCTTACATGCCGTCTAGCTGTTAAAAGTAGCACTAATAATAATAATAATAACCAGAATTATATTTTATATTGTGATAAAATGATTAATTATCTTTCACGCACTCGTCAACCCTAATACAAACTACAGCTTCATTATTTATTTATTTTTTTATAGAACTACAAACCTCAGCCCTCCTCCTATAAGGTTTTAGTTTGGTGAATCTCTGGCATTTGTGACTGTATTAGGCATGTTGGGTATATTTCATTCTGTAGCAGAAGTTCAGAAGGCAATAAATTAACACTGCTAAGATAGATAAGCAAATGCTTCTTACTGCACAGAGAAGGGTCTGTGACTAGACAATGCTGAGGTCTGACGTCAGCCCTTCTATACTGGAAACCTCACAGTTTAGTTTTTCTAATCAGCACCCCCTAATGGGGACCCCCCTCCTACCCCAGGCTCCATAGCAGCCACATTAAGGCCCCGTTCACACCAGGGCGGTTTGGTTGCTCGGATTTGTCCGTGCTGAACTGCTGCCATGAAAATTCCCATCCAATCCAATCCCATACATTCCTATGGGGACTGTTCATGCCATCGCGCATCTCCGCATGATCCGAACTGCCCACCGCCCGAAAAGCTCCCTGGGTCTTTTTCCATATAGATGTGAAAGGAAATGCGCTTATCAGTGCGTTTTTGGGCGTTTTTATTGCGTTTCAGCGCTGAAACGTGATTAAAAACGCCCAAAACCATCCTCTTAAAATCCACACGGAAACTGCGTTGAAATGCATCCGTCCTGGTGTGAATAGGGCCTAAGGGTATCATGGGCACTAAAGGGCTGTCCGTAATATTATTATTATTTTCAAAGAAAGACCTCTGTAATGCACTGGAATGCAACATGGCCGGCTCCCTGCGCTCAGGGGCGTGGCGGTGCACTGAAGTAAATGGCACCGCAGCCACCACCCCCTGCCCGCAGTGTGATCGCCGACACCCGAACGCTTGGCACATTAGTGCCTGCGTTCCCATCCAGCAATCTGCAAAAATAGTGCATGCAGCATTTTTGCAGATCGCATTGGACCGGAGCACAGGCACTAATGTTGCCGCGTGCTCGGGTGGCAGCGATCGCACTGTGGGCAGGTGGGCGTGGCTGCGGTGCCATTGACTTCAATGCACCACCACGCCCTCTCCAGCTCCTGAACGGAGGGAGCCGACCAGGTAGCGTTACAGTGTGTTACAGAGGCCGAACGCTCAGGAACTCACTCTTTGTGGTGTGAACCAGCCCTAAGGGTATCATGGGCATTAAATGGCTGTCCGTGTTATTATTATTATTTTCAAAGATAGAAAACAGGCAGTAAAAAAAGTCAAATATAGAGTACATAAAGAAAAAAAGTAAACAAGACAATACAATTAATATTAGTAATAAAGTAAACTAAAGTACAATAAATATGCACCCCTACCAAAACTCCCCCCCTCCACCCCACCCTTAAAAAATGTCCTCACTATAAAACTCTTTCTTTGATATTTTACAAAGACCATCAATACATTTCTATTGTATCTCTCTTTTCAGATACATTGGTCAGAATGTGTCCAAAATACCCTCTTGTCCTGATATTTGGGATCATCCTGAGTCTCCCCCATCCGTCCTCGTCTCAGAATTGGGAAATGTTTCAGAAGAAGCACATTGTAGGCTCAGCGAGCATGAACTGTGACGACGTCATGAAGGACCCCATATTCATCATAAAGGATCGCTGCAAGAAACTGAACACTTTCATTGTTTCACCTGCTGCCACTGTAAAGACCATCTGTAGCGCGGTGCCAAGCCGTAGCGATGTAACAAGTTCCGCAAAGTTCCAGCTCATCAATTGCATTCTCAAATCTGGTGTGAAACCCCCTTGTCCGTATGAATCCAAAAGTGAAAATAATTTCATCTGCATAAGATGCGAGAACAGACTTCCTGTGCATTTTGTCAAAATGGGAAAATGTTAAGAAATTGTTTCTTGAAATGTTTTGCTGCAGACAAAAATCTTGTATTGCTGTATTAAAAATAAACCGAAACATGAATCATTATTATGTTTTATTGTTGTCTTTATCCTCCTAGGGGAGATTTTACCTCAGTTCCTGTGTGGTCAACAAGGCAGGAAGTGGGCAGAATCTTAAAGTGAATCTTTATCCCCTTTTCTCAAAAATTCACATCAATATGCAGCTCCGCTCTGATGTAAAATCATCCTATAGGGATAGATTCAATATTTTTTTATTTTAATCTCCTTTATTGGGCTCCACTTCCTGGTTTTCTGGAGCACTGGTGACATAGCCAGGACCTCATAGGTGTCCCCTGGGAAGGATACATCACCAGTGCCTACCAGGGAGATCTCCAGTCCTAAATGGAGCAAATCTTACAAAATCTGGGGGAACAAAATTTTTCTTAATAACATTTTTTACAGATGATTGTATTGGTGTACGGTGCATGTGCGAGATAAAGCATATGATGCCATACGCCGGATCTTGCACAAGCGCCTTACAACATTACATTACATTTTATTTTATTTTTGGTTTCCTCCCGGTGGGGACACAGAGCGCTGTAAGTACTACTAACTTTATTAGTTTTAGTTAGTACAATGTAGGGATGCACCGATACCGGTTTTTCGGTATCGAGTAGGAGTACCGATATTTTTTTTTCAGTACTTGCCAATACTGATACTGGAAGTCCCATTGAGGAAGCCAAGCAGCAATTGATGACTCGTCACCCGGCTTCCCGATTAGCCGGGAAGCCGTCTCCATGATCCCTCGTCACCAGGTGACGAAGAAGCATGGAGCCGTCTTTCTGGCCAATCAGGAAGCCGGGGGTGGGTAATGAATCGCCGCTGGCTTCCTGATTGGCCAGCTTCACGACCAACCAGGAAGCTGGATGGCGAGCGCTGGCGGAATTACCAGGGTCGCAGTTGCGACTGGGCCCTGGCGTTGCCGCCTGTTGGGGGGGGCGGCCCAGAGAGGAAGCAGAGGGTCCGAAAGCTTCCTCCTGCTGTCCCCCCCTCCAGATAGTGCCGCTCCCTCCCCCGCCGCTCTGCATGTACGGACGGCTGTGTGGGGATAGAGAGGCTGCGCCTGTCACTTACCTGCCTGGCACCGCCAGGCAGCACTTTCTTCAGCTGGGAGAGGACCATCTCCACTTAGTCCCGCCCCCTGGCCGCCATAATGAAGAAGCTGAGCTGCTGTAAAAGTCAGCCGGTGTGGGGGGTAAGAAGCTGTTATTATTATTTACATATTAGAATGTATTGCTGGGACTTGTAGTCCTGCATAGCTGGTGGTATTCTGCATTGCTGTATAATGATTATAAAGCAATGCAGAATAGCACCAACCATGCAGGACTACAAGTTCCAGCAATACATTATATTATTAAGTTGGGATGCACCAGTGCCAATACTGGGTTTTTTCACACGTACTTGTGAAAATGCCCCATACTAAGCGCAGGCAAAATTACCAGGGTCGCATCGGTCGCATATGCGACCGGGCCCTGGTGTTCGGCCAGTTGGGGGCAGCCCAGAGAGAAAGAAGAGAGCCCCGCCACACGCAGCTGCCTCATGCTGCCTGCGGTGACACTTGTGGACCGCAGTTCAGACAGAGGGATGGTGAAGACACTGTAGTAGGGAGGAGGGGGGGTGGGGGGGTGGCCAGTCAGGGAACTTCTTTTGCATGCACTATTTTTTCTGACCGCAACGGAACGCAGGCATTGATTTGCCATGCTTTCCGGTGCAGGCGATCGCACTTCGGTGCCATTTACTTTAATGCACCGCCATGCCCCCTCCCACCCCAGAACGCAGTGAGCTGGCCAGGATGCGATCCAGTGTGTACCAGCACTAAATCGGGCCCGAACACACTGGAGCTGGTGTGAACTAGCCCTGAAAGTCATAACATACATACTGTTTATTTAATAGAAAAAAAAAGGTATCATAATATTTTTTTTGGGGTGGGGGGGCTTAATGGTTTCTTGCATCGGGGCCCTGAGGTTTCTAGTTATGCCTCTGGTAGCGAGTCATTACAGGGTGCCCAGCTCCCTGATTGGCCAGGAAGCCGGCTCCATGGAACCTCGTCACCAGGTGACTCGCCGCCTGGCTTCTTGATTGACCAGCTTCCCGACCAATCAGGAAGCTGGGCGGCGAGTCATTACTCGCTGTCTGGCTTCCTGTTTGTCCAGAAAGCTGGCTCTATGCTTCCTCGTCACCTCCCTGCGTTCTGGGGGGAAGGGGGCATGGCGGTCCATTCAAGTCAATGGCACCACAGCCACACACCCCTGCCCTCAGTGCGATCACCCGCAAATAGTGCTTGTACTGTTTTTTTGTGATCGCACTAGACCGGAACGAGGGCATTGCTGTGCCACACGTTTTGGTGCGGGCGATCGCACTGCAGCTGGGGGGCGTGGCTGCGGTCCCATTGACTTGAATGCATCGCCATGCCCCCTCCCGACCCAGAACGCTGGGAGCCTTAAGGTGCCCATACACCTTACAATTATCTGCAGATTTTCTGTGGTCAGATGGAAAAAGTGCAACAGATTGGCCCAGGTGGAGATTACTCCATCCAAACAGTTAAGTGTAGATGGAGGAATCTGTTGCACCTTTTCCATCTGACCATAGAAAATCTGCAGATAATTGTAAGGTGTATGGCCAGCTTTACAGTATGCGATCCTGCGCGTTCCAGCAGCTAACGATGCTGGAACGCACTGGAGATGGTGTGAACGGGCCCTTACACAACTCTCTTTAAACTGTGTCTCATCCCTCCTATAAGGTTTTACAGAGGTGAAACTATGGGATTTGTGACTGCATCAGTCATACAGGGTTAATTTCAATCTGTAGCAGAACTTCAGAGGGCAATATATCTGCACTGCTAACATAGATAAGCAACATTTCTTCCTGAGGTCTGACTTCAGCCCTTCTATACTGGAAACCTCACAGTTCGGTTTTCCTAATCAACCCCCCGAATGGGGCCCCCTAGCAGCCGTGTAGGCTGCTATGGCTAATGTTATGTCATTGCTGCACTGCCAACATACCGCTCTACCTGCCGGTATGTTGGCAAAAAAAAATCAGGAATGGTAACTTCCATGTGTCTGCAATGGACTATGTTTGTGTATACGTGGCATGTATGATTAAACTATTTATTGCCATCAGCATTTATAATTACTTGGAGCTCGCATAGCAGTGGACACCAATTCTGTAATCATTGCATGTCTCCATAAAACGGAAGTTGGTGTTACAGTACTAGACAGTTTATATGGTCAGTGATCATTTCAACAGATATTGCATAATATATTTAACCCTGGAAGGAAGAAGTAAACAATTAGAGACTCTCTTCCCCTTTTCAAGACCCAGGTGCCAGACCGTTCATTTAAAAAAAAAAAAAATCTTCCCATAGTCATATGTTCATTTATCATATACCTGTAAAAGCCTCCCTGGTGTAGACATCTAAAAACCCTGAGACTGCCCTACCACTACAACACGCATGCTATGTTTGTGGTGTGCTGCATTTTGCAAAAAGAGGCCATGCACATTTTTTGCAAAATGTTGTGATGTCATGGCAGGTGATTTATATTGCATTGGCTGCCCTACCACGATGCACATTAACACACGTAAAAACACATGTTAATGCTTATGTTATTAATACACTGCACTGGGTTGATTTATATGAATGGGCCCCCAAGGAAGATTTCTTAATGGGTGAAACCAGAGCACACATCCTCCTATGTCAATGCATTCCCACAACATCCATTTAAATTTCCCTTTTCATGGCGGCCTCCAGCCATCCAGCAGTGAACCCACATGAACGGGGTCTTATTGTGGATGTGTAGTACAGTGTTTTTCAACCTTTTTTGTGCAAAGGCACACTTTTTTCATGAAAAAAATCACGAGGCACACCACCATTAGAAATCTATGTGCGATTTCACCAGCCTGGTGAGACCCCTCAGGGCCCTGGCAAGACCCCACAGAGGCCTGGCTAGATCCCACAGAGCCCTGGTCTCACCAGGGCTCCATGGGGTCTCACCATGGCTTTGTGGGGTCTCACCAGGGTAGCAGATTTTGCCTTGTACACACATGCGATGACTCACCGGCCCAAGAGTGAGGAGGAGACTCAGCCCAAGTGATTCCGTCAGGTAACGAAGGGAAGGGGGAGGAGTCTATGTCCGTGACGTCACCGGACTCCTCCCCCCTTCCCCGAGTGGCGCTGTCGGCTAACGAAGGGAAGGGGGGAGGAGTCGGGTGATGTAGTTGTCCGTGATGGGTAACGAAGGGAAGGAGGGAGGAGTCCGGTGACGTCGATGTCCGTGACGTCACCGGACTCCTCCCCCCTTCCCCGAGTGGCGCTGTCGGCTAACGAAGGGAAGGGGGGAGGAGTCGGGTGATGTAGTTGTCCGTGATGGGTAACGAAGGGAAGGAGGGAGGAGTCCGGTGACGTCGATGTCCGTGACGTCACCGGATCTCCGACGGAAGACCCGGAAGCCGGCGGAGAGGTGAGTAACTTTGATCGATCAAAATAATTTTGATCGATCAAAGAAATTAACGATTTATTGACGGCACACCAGAAAATATCTCACGGCACACTAGTGTGCCGCGGCACAGTGGTTGAAAAACACTGGTGTAGTAGTCTGGAAGTCTCCGCCCACTGCTTGCAGAGGAAGACAAAATGCTCAGAGGGGAATAAATAAATATAAAGGTAAAATGAGAAATAACATTTAAAGCATATAGCTACTTATGTGATACAATGTAACCAAGTATCAGTGAGGGAAAAAGAAAAAAACAGCAATCCAGATAGTGAATAATAACATAAACTACTCTGCTCTTATCGGGGGAAAACTGGTGGACCAGAGCTATACCTCTGAGAGGGGCTTTATTTGCATACACCATCTGGTGAGTAACCATCGCTTGGGGGCTGCAGATTGGGCAAAGAAGATTTGCTGATTTTTTCCTGTGTTCAGCACCTTCCTACTATTTAAACATCATCTGTTCTTCATACTGACATTTTTCACATCACGGATTGAGACTTTTTAAAAAGTTTTTTCATTCATTTTTAATTTCTTCCTTCACTGGAACACTTTATATTGTTTTCTAAACTGAGTAGTTTATGTTATTATTCACTATCTGGATTGCTGTTTTTTTCTTTTTCCCTCACTGATACTTGGTTACATTGTATCACATAAGTAGCTATATGCTTTAAATGTTATTTAAACACGGATTAGGTCTCCTTTGAAGACTCCTCAGTGGTTAATCTTTCTGCACTATTGAATTATTTATCTTCACTGCACTATTGAATCATTTCTTCACTGTGAATGTTTAGGTTTTCACTTGAACAATTAATATTTGTTTTACCTTTATGACTCATTTTATGGGATTGAGCTGTAATACAAATTGTATTTTGATTTTTATTTAACAGTGGTATTTAGTTGATTCACGCACCTTTAAATCACTGTTTCCTCTTTCTCATAGCAGGTTTAGGGCCATTATAAATTTACAACAAATATTTTAAAAATATTTTTAGCAGTCTTCTAAAAGCGCAGATTATTGTTACAACTAAAATGAGAAATACCTTTTAGATTTCAAACTATCAGCCCGCATTTATTTCAGTCTATTTTATTACCACAGATGAATAATGGACATAGCACAGTACAGCACATGAATTTCCTCGATAAAACACAATAGTCTATCACACATCTCATGACATCAAGAAAAAAAACATGAATTAGCCAAACATGTGAAAATTAAAAAGGTAACTAAATAACAGTCTTCAATTTTGTACAGCTTAGTGCAAGCTCAGTGCATGGAAAAATGATATTCCAGGTCTGAGTAAGTGGCGGCAGTAGGAGTTGGAACGCCTAATTGGCCTTATCTTAATCCTCTAAGACTTTAGCAATGAGATCTGTGTATCTGTGTTCCCAACCCCGCCCACCTGTTGCAGACTGTGTTCCCAACCCCACCTGTTGCAGACAATCCAATAATGAAAAAGTAAGGACAGGATTATGACAATAATGACTTGCCCACAAGTGTCATTACCCGTACATTCTTTTTTTCCATCCTAGACACCTCTTACCCATTTCCCTAGTTAGGTTAATAAATAAGTTGTCTTGTTACCCCTTTCAAGAAATATTTCATGAAATAAATAAATATCCTGCCTCCCCTCTCCAATGCATATTTACTTGTATCCCGCAGATGTCCACATTGTTTACATACATCCCATACAACGGGGCCATCTCTGGAGGCTAGGAATGTTCTGGCCTCTGGAGATACTTACCTGTATCCTGCTGACGTCTACATTGTTTACATACATTCAACTCAATGGGGCCGTCTCTGGAGGCCAGAGCATCTCTAGCCTCCAGAGATGGTGCCATGGAAGGCCAGCTTCTAAAAACCAAAAACTGGGTCCTGCTGGCCCAGTAACACTTGCTTCAGCACATGGCAGAAGATCTTTGCTGGCACTGTTGGGGCAATCTTCTGCCCAATAGCAGCTGCATAATTCCAGCAGTGAAATTGGGAGAAAGCAGGGCAATGCCGTGATGTAGGACAGAGATGTTTGTAAAGTAAGTATCCATTGCGCACCAATGATTGGAGGGATTACTAACTGCCTCTGGTCACCAATGGATGGGATGGGGGTTTGCTGCCTCTCACCATCAATGATTGGGATGGGGAGGATGTTTGCTGCCATTAAGCAGCAATGACTGAGGGAGGGGAATATTTTGTTGCTAATGGGCAACAATGTTTGGGGGGGG